CCCCCCCCCGACGAACAGAATCAACTCTTACAGGACCAAATTCAATGCACAATCCCAACCCCTGATTCTAATACATTTTTGCTAAAGCAAGGAGAACTCAGGTAGCTCAAGCTACCTTTCGTGATAATGCCCCCCAACTCATGCACACGCTATAGAATCAAAGCCCCTATGTCGTGAAGTGAAAGCTCGCGGAAATTAAATATGAAGTATTCAACACTAAAGAATCACAACCCCCATCTCACAGATTGAATCCTTACAATACTATATGCTCAAAAGACTCTGATTCTATAGTATTTTCCGATGTGTTTTCGATGAATGTTTCCGACAACATCCGGCAACGTCTTTCCATTTTTATCGAATCATGATCACTATAGAATCGTCTTTCCATCTTTCAGGTTGTTCCGCTATAGAATCACGATCACTCAATGACCATCAACATGTCTGTAACCAAAAAATAAAAGTCTCCATGTCACCAGTACAAAGCTCACGGAAACATAATATATCTCAGGGTTCTATCACTTTAGAATCACAACCCCCAGGTCAACCAGGTCAAATTGCACCCTTGTCGGAAATTTTCCGTGGTATCCCGTGGTCTCTTTTTAGAATGGAGGAACCTGAGTGATTCAATTCTATTCTATAGTGCTATAAAATGGTTGCTGGGGAGTAACCCAGGTGGCATGATTCCATATAGGATTTCATTTTTTTTAAGCGGATTATCTATCTATCTATATATATATATATTTAGTATCCCCAATACAACCCTATACCACACCCTGCCTTCAACAAGAACCCTCTAGATCAGCCTTGGAGCTTTGTCACAGCCATCTTAGAGCAATCTTTCGGCCGTCACACGCGAGGTCCCGGCCCAGCGGCGTGAGAACCAATTCTTGGGCACCAGGTCACCATAGCCCACCTTGGCTATTCACCGTTCACAGCACGGCCAAACGGGTTTTCCTCAAGAACAGCTTTAAAGACCTGAACTGGACATCTAAGCCACTGTCATGAGCGTGATGATGGCAAAGTAGATGCAGTCAGAATATCCCCAACCTCGGTGTCAGGAAGCAACCATAGGAGAACTGGTGTGCGCTAGGACCACTGGTGTGGTGGTCACCTGGTTGCTTCACTGATGCTCAAACCCGGTTGGCATCGCTTGGTGGTCAGCCAAAGCACCATTTCATGGGTCAGGACGTCATTTCATGTTCAGGTCCCGCTGGAAGGTAGAGTCGATCGTCGTCTCTGTCTTCGTAGCGATGCCAGGAGCCCCTAGTAGCGTCCTTGCTCCAAAATCAGGAATCCATAGGAATCCCATTAAGCAATTAGGTCAACTATGTTCAACTGCTGTCTGTCTAGTACAGGGTGGTTCCTTCTTGCCAAACACCCGCAGCGTGAAGAGCCAAGAAGAGCCTCCTTGCATCTCCTTGCAATACTATTGCTCATTGAGCTTTGCGATAGCACACTTCATATATCTTCATATTATGAGCAGCACAAAGCTCTTGGCAGAAACTTGCGGGATGGCTGTCCATCCAAAAACTCCAAGAACAAAAGAGCTCTGCAAAATACGCGTGTGATTAAACCCCTATGTCGATCTATGTCGTACAACATTTCTTACGCTCCTGCTTTTTCTTATGCGACCAGTGAGCTTACGCGCCACGGATACTGAAGAAGACCTTACGCATCTCCATTTTCACACATGAGAACCATACTCCCAAGGGAAATGATTACGCGAAGGCTCCTTTTTGCAGGTGAGCGGGCGACAAACACATGATCACTAAGACTCCGAAGCAGAGGAAGCAAAGGATCACTAGCATCTACTTACTGGCTGCCGTGGGTGGGGAAATGAACAGTTGGCTTACGCGAACCTTACGCCACCAAACCCTCACCAAACGGAGCCTGGCATGTTATGACATGTTATGATGGGCTGTCTTGAGAAAGGTTTGATACAGAGTGGCAAACACAAACAAGCACAGTGCACACACCTGAAACACAGCGCACACAAATGTCTGTTCCCAAGGGTTTCAAAGCTCTCATGGTCACAGTTCCTTTCTTGACAGGTGTGTGCTAAGAATCTACCAATGAAAACACAACCATATGGCAAGCTTCCGCAACATGCATGTCTCACAACTCCCTTACGCAACCTTACGCTTTTCAGGTTTCTGCTTACGCCCAAGTTCCATATGACAAGGCCTTTACTTAATTCATCTTGGGAGGTTTCTTGCGGTGCTCAAAAGGAAACTCGATTACCCACGTACTGGCGGCAGAACTAGACTCATCACCCCCGCTGTGTTCAAAATGATGAGCCCCAAAAAGACATCTACAGCTTTGGGATGGTTCGGGTATGTTTCCACACACACCAATTTCTGGTCTTGTCTCGAAACGGCCGTGAAAAGAAACCCAACATGATCGGGAACCCAACGCAGTCCAACATGCTGTTGTTTGTTTCACCCCAAAAAAGACATCGGTTTGCATCCGAGAGGCCTTCAAGATAATGAAACATGATGCCAGAGACCAGCAGGTAAAGAAATAGGGTAAAGCACACCTTGTAAAAGCTTCGAATCCTTCTGGATGTCCTGAAAGTCGCAGGATGTCACAGGTCATCACGGGTCATCGCGGGAGGGGTGTCTTGTGACCGTGTAAACACTGAATACCCGTGGTTGTTCCAGGTCCCTTCCAGGTCTCTTTCAGGTCCCTTCCAGGTGGTCCGGGACTTGCTCTTCATGTTCAATCTACGAGGCCTCGACGATTTTGCCCAAGGATTCTACAACAGCCAACATGAGAAACGGTGTTGATGAACATCCTGCACAAAACAAAACCATGTTTCTCTTGAATTTGAGGCATATACGCTGGACGCCTTGTTTTTTTGGGGGATCAATCCCAAAGACCCTTTTCTAAGCCCCTGTTCGGATTGGTTGGCTTAAGCGTCCAAGAGTTCGGGGAAGCTTTTGGGACTCGAGTGTGGGTAGGGAGGTGAATCTGACCCCATGCCTTCGCTTTGGAACAGCGTGTCCGAAGATCTAAAAATAAATAGAACATTATGGAACCATACGGTTACCATACCACAAAATGCCTGATTCACATGACCGTGCCCTTTTCAATCTCTGGAGAAATGCTTGAACGACACTTGCTACTGAGACCACGTGACAAAGGAAGGCCCGGCCCTTGGCCGCCTTGGCCCTGGTGCCCTCGAGCCGCTCTCGCCGCCCTTCCCCATCCTTCCGAAGATGATCTGCAATGCATTGCGCGCCACGGGATACTTCAGTTGAAAATTGAGCCGCTCCTTAGGCAACGAAGGCGCTCGGTCCGAACCCGAAGCATACGGGACGCATCCTGGGGACAGTGGAAACTACGCCGCTGAGCTGCACGGGAAAAATAACACATGGGCAAGGAGAAAAGAATGAAAAATGGCTATTCAATGCTATTCAATTATTCTTTCCACCTGCAGCCATGCCTGAAACATCTTCCTGCAGCCATGCCTTCGCCTAGTCAGAAAACCCAACTTCAGAACCGAAACAAGAAAGCCCTAGTCTTGGACTTTATGGCCTACATTGACCCATGTAAGTGGACATGCGGCACGTCACACACCAACCGTCCTCCACGCGACAGTGTTGTGTCCACAAAAAGGTACCAAGCTCAGCAGGCGCGCCACACACGGTCATGTGCGAACTGGCAAGAGGCCATAAGCAATCATAGCCAAGAGCCCTCAAAGACCAATGACTTTTCAAATTGTTCAACAGAAGATGCAGCCACAGCCGCACAACCAGCGCTTTAGGTCTTCGGCCAGGCACAAATCGATATACACCAAAACCCAAACAAAACTGTGATTGGACGGCACTGTTCAGGTGCCAATCGCCCTTGAACGATGTTAAATTGTTGTCATCTTTGGCAACAGGACCATTCTGGCACTATATAAAGAGCCTTTCACCGATCAGTTACACCTCCGTGGTCAGCAAGCAAATGGGCGGCAGTGACATCATCATGTGGCTGTTTCAACCGCCAAAAATTCTGCCACCAATTCACAACAGCACCAACAGCGGCCTCATTGGCGCCAGCATAAGACATTGACCCCTGAAACTACCCCATTGTGGGCAAATATGTGGCCTACATTCATGGAGTGTCTGGTTTAGGTGGTGTTTAAACTTTTCCCCCCGACCACCAGAATCGGAGGTTCACCAAAAGAACCTTGGAGTATTTCAAGGGATCCAAAGCTTATCCCATACCCCCGAACAGTTTCAGTTTCCCTTGCAACCATTTTGGTGAACCTTTTTGCACCTGTTCATCTGACTTGCCAAGCTTCATGTGAGAACATGGCACGCTATCAACTGTCAGGTTCAATAGCATAAACAGATACAACAAGGTTTCAGATTACACATGAAAGAGCCAGAAAGTTTTTGAGCTCCTACTAGTGAAAACCTCCAACCTACTAGCGATGGCCTCCAATGGCCTCCAACCTAATAGTGATGGCCTCCAACCTAATAGCAATGGCCTCCAATCTAAGAGCCATGACCTCCAACCAAAGAGCGATGGCCTCCAACCCAAGAGCGATGGCCTCCAACCTACTACCGATGGCCTCCAACCTAAGAGCGATGGCCTCCAACCTAAGAGCGATGGCTTCCAACCAAAGAGCGATGGCTTCCTACATCTTCCAACCTAAGAGCGATGGCTTCCAACCCAGGAGCGATGGCTTCCTTTCATAAGAGCGATGGCCTCCAACCTAAGAGCGATGGCCTCCTACCTACTAGCAAGGCGCCCCACGCCAATGAATTGATTCGCACCAACATCCACACCGCGAGGTCTTCAACGTCGTTCCACCTCCCTCAAGAATGAGACCGGCGAACCCTCTGTTCCACTTAGTGGGGAAATCAATCTCTAAAACATTCTCAAAGGTTGTCACATGTTATAACTTTCCCTGCAATAGAAGACCCATTTCTCTTCCAGTCTCGACTTTTGGGCAACTGCTTGGTGTTCTTCCCTGACGTTGGGCCTGATCCATCTTAGGGCTGTTCCGCGCCCTTCCACCGCACCTTCCGGTCCAGGTCAACTCATCCCAGCTGGCTCTGGTGGTTGAGGCGAGGCTTTGGAACTTCGCTTCAGGTTCCCCAGCTGCGCAGCGCACACGCTCACTGGAGCCCATCCGGGTACAAAACCGATGGCACTTTCGATTTGAACACCTGAACACCGCTGAACCCGAGCCACCTCGAGCCACTGAACGCCCGGAAGTCATCTCCTGCCAAGGCTCCGAGAGCCGGAAGTCGTAGAAATGGCTCTTATGCAGGCCGTACAGCAGCACCTACAGTACGCGCTCGCGCGTTGGAACTCCGTCCCCGATTCAGCGATGCAATGCAGGCTGCGCAGTCGCGCAGTCTGAGGAGAAGTTGGAGAGTAAGTAGACATGGAACGAAATATCCAAATGAATCCACAATCCAAATGACATATTCCGAACATGTCCGAACCATATCAATCCATCTCACCGAGTTGGTCCAAGAAGCTGTATTTACCGTGTAATTTTTCAGCGAATGGAGCGGTGGGTGTTTGGATCGCGCATAGCCTGTCCGTCAACCTCAAACAAATCTTGGGCCTCGTATTGAAGAATTGGTAACATCATGTAACATCTAAAGAACAAGAACCTCCAAGAAGAGTTCAACTTGGAAATAAACTAGATCTAGACTCTAGAGATATCATGAGATCTGAGGCACCTCCACGAACCACGGCACCCACAGCGCGGCGCTAGTCACCACAGCAGCTTTTTACTTCCTCATCCCTGGCTGAGGCCTCGCCCTGCGCATAGACGGAGGCGTTGTGCGGCTCGTGCTCGATCAAGGCCACCTCGCCAAAGTAGGCGCCTCCGCTCGAACGGGCCAAGGCCAGGCCGGGCTTCCAGTGAAAACATGGGCCGGTTCCACCTGGTGGGGTCCAACCTGTTCCAACAGCTCTCATAGCAAAAACGACCTCCCATAGGTTGACCAGTCCTGGGTGTGACCCATGACTATTTGAACGACTTGCAGTTAGTCCAAGTGCACCAACCGCGGGGGCCATTGCCCAAACGATCCCGCTGTCCACCCGCGTGGCCAAGCGTGGCCCATCCCACCCGAGGACGACAGAGTGCCTGGTCGTAGAGTGGCGACCTGTCTCTCATGTTGTCCTTCTTGCACTCGCACAGAGCAAAGTCCCGTCTGGATGAAGTAAAGCCTCAGCTTGCACAGGGGTAAGAGTTGGTAAAACATGGTAAAACATGGTAAAACGAGGATGAGGTGCAGGATGGTGCATGTACACCTGACACATCCTGACACCAGCTGTGGATGCAGGTTGATTCATATTCACAAAAACCAACGGCGATACATAGGATGACCAACTCTGAAAACATCAATGTTGCTTCGCCCCTCTGGTAGGTGGAAGAGCAAAATAACATAAAATGAGAGGGGTCGGTTTCGAACAGCCAAGAAGCAACACATCCTGGGAAAACGGAACCTCTCCAAAGGATCTTATCCACATCTGCTTGGACACGTGACCGACATCTGACGTCCACCGACAGACGCGTTATTGCGCGAATCCTCATCCTCGCCGCTCGAGGACACCGTCGAGGCGCTCTGTGCCTTCAGAACCTTGCTTGATGATGGCCTCACGGAGGGGCGACCCGAGGTTGGAGACGGGAACCATCCGAGCCGAACCGGAGACTGGGGCCGCCGAGAACGCGGGACCTGGTCTCCTTTGCCAATGTTCAGGTGGGCGCCCAGGCCTACACTCTTACATATGCAGGGGAAAGGAAGGGCACAAGAGTCAGCCATTTTGCCTCGCAAGTCCGAAAAACATCTGGCTCCTTCAGCCGCTGTTGTTCATTCCAATGGAAGGCTTACATACGAGGCCAAACTCCCTATGCTTCTCAGAGATTCACTGCTCCTCAGAGATCCACAGATCCACTCCTGGCCTCGCCGTTGCTCACGACCCGGGGCTGGAAGAGCCGAGCTAAATCCAAGAACTCTTCGTGGGGCAGCGGATCGAAGGTCTCCACTTTGTGCATAAAATCCTCAGCGACGCTGAGAGACTCTGGGATGCATCATGCATTGGATCTTTGTAGGGTGTGGAAGACACAGGCTGAAAAGCCCTCTCCAAGAGCTTTCCGAAGTGCAAAGCCTGGTGAACATCAATCGAACGTCAAATCTGCGCAATCCAGTGCTGCCATGGATCCAGAATTCGCGTGTACCTTGCCACAGGCTGAGCATGTAAGGGTGGACCATGAAGGAGAAAATGGAACAACCTCCTGTCACACGTCCAAACTTGGTCGCTGGGGGCATTGCATGGGAGTGACGACCCTGAAATTCAACCCAGTCATGGTGACGACCGTGAGTCATCAATCCATTCCACACGGAACTAAGTCCATTCTTCGCCTGAAAGCACAATGGAATATCCTCCCAGGACCGTCGACCACCTCCTGGAACATGGGTGTCCTAGCTGGACGGCGCACCATCACCGACGGCGCAGCGGATGCACCGGACTCCGAAGGGAACGAGAAGACCGGAGTCTCCTTCAAAGGAGACGCTTCGCCCACACGAGTGGTGTGGCGTTCATCTGCTAGTATGGATCAGCCAAACATCTGCTCTAGTAACTACCTGGCTAGGTCCCAGGTCCCCACACCTTCCCTGAAAACTCGATGCTCAGGAACTCATCACCGCCGTCTTCTTCACAGGCAGGTAATGGTGGCCACGATCTCCAAGAGTTCGTCCTGATTCGGCCGAGAAAACAATCAAAGATCATCAAATACGTGAGGTGGTATGAGGCAAAACTAAACGGATTAAATCATTAGCTTGAATATGTTGTTTTTTTCCCCCGTGATCTGGTAAGTAGAAACTAATTGGCAATGTTCAATTGTTTTATAATTTCATGCTGCTATATATATATATATATTTGCCGCGAAGTCAGTGATCTAAGTAGATGGGAATGTAAGTAGCACTGGAGAAACACCCGGCGGCCCTTTCTGTTCCATGATGGTTGGCACCTCACACTCCTGGTTTTGTTCACCAGTTTCACACCTCACCCGAAAACCATTCTTCACCTCTGTGGAAGTGATGAAACAAGGACCCCGGACCTCCGGAGGTCTAGACTCATCCCCTAAAGAATCTGAACATGTCCTTTCTGTGACCATGAAATCCAGGGCGGCGTTCCATGGAGTTGGGTGGCTCCTCCAGTGGGACACCCCTATATCCCTTTGGGACTGCTGGCAAATATGATATAAACATACGTATATATATATATATATCTATGTATGTATCTATGTATCTATGTATATATATATATGTACCATCTCCCTCTCACCATGTCCGAGGGGCGATACGTGGTTCGCCGGTTCCACATTCAGCAAAGGAGTGTCACGAGGCTTGGAAGGTTCCATGTTTAAAAGACACGGTTCTTGCGCTGAAGTGAAGTAAAGACTTGTCTTTCTCTTTCAGTGAACTTAGAGTTTTGTTCATTTCCAATTCTACATCAAACTGACCAAATCAGCAACATCCAACCCCTGCATAGGGGGCGAGAAGGGATGATTTATGTACTAACTATATATATATATAAATATGAATATCTTTGATCGTAATTCACCAACCTGACATGCTGGACCCCCCTACTATTGGACCCTCTATGACTTGCTTTAGGCATGCCCCGAAGAACTGATGAGTTAATGCTTCTTGTGTGGCTAGGAAAGCACATTGATGAATTCCTAAGTCTTGTGGCACTAGACTAGGTGAGGAGTTGTTGACAGGTAACTGTCCACAAAGAAAACCAACTTGGCAGCATTTGGCGCATTTCTTCCCTTTGGCCGTTGGAATTCGTGTTTTTCCGAGCGAGTTCGGCTGAACAAGGACTCCACCGGTCGCTGCAACGGCGGTTTCTGGATCAACCGACGGTTGACGGTGGACGGTGATCGACCACAAACCATCCAAAATCAGAAACCATCCGCATCAATGAGTCAGAACAACCCTCCGTCCGTATGCATCAACCCTCACTGTTGAATTATTGGTGAGTCCACCATGCCATGGTCCAGGTAGGCTTCCCCAAACAGTCACAACAAACAGTTTTCTCAAAGTGACTTGGTTGGGGATCCCCATGGATCCCCCTCATTGTGGCCCGTTCGAGGAGAAAGCCTCCCCCAAATCTGACATGGCAGATGAAAAGCCACCCTATAGTAAGGGAAGCCATTGGAAGTTCTCCCCTTCCGAAATCGCCAAAAACATCTCTGGTCGAAACCATCTTCAGAAATACTGCTTTCCATCTTGCTTGGGAACCCATTCACCAGCTTCGTTCCATCTGTGACCCAATTTAGAAGCCCTTGGTCCTCGTTTTTGCTCAAACCAATCAGATCAAGTTCGATCACAATTGGTTCAAACCAGATCTGTGAAGAAGTTCACCATGAAGCAAGATGAAACAAGCAAACCAAACAAATCTATTAGATCACTTAGATCACTGTCATCTGTCAGATCAAGCAAATCTAGATCAAGTTCCATCACTCTTGGAAGATCTCAGGCACTTCTCCAGGGCTCCCGACCTTGATCCTGCCGTCTCCGGCCGAGTTCTCCAGAGAAACCACCCGGCCGAGCGGATCGTGGGAAGAAACGGTCTACGAATGGAAGGAGCCGACAACATCAGCTTCACAGGTCTGTTTAGATCTGCATGGAATCTACGACGTAACAGGTATTAGTAACAAGTAACAACGGGCATCGAACCCCGAACGGAGCAGCATTTCGGGCGTCGCCGCCCCAAACGGAGCATTTCGGGCGTCGCTACGAAGGGGGTGCTCCTGGCCTTACTACTAGCAACAAGAAGCTTCTTTGGAATCTTCAAAAACCAAAACCATTTTTCCATTGGGGAGCCCAAGACACCCGTCTTCCCAGTTCTTCTGACAAGCGCATGCACCTCAGGAAGGAAACCATTCTCCAGCCTCGGTCTTTAACGATGCGAACGAACGACCAAACGGACCAGGACGGACTGACCAAGACACGGGCTCACAAAGAGCCATAGCCGCCCAGTTTGGGTATATACAAATATGTATATATATATATATATTTGTTTGTTTGCTTTAATACCTATAGAATATCTTACATTACATGTATCATACGTATTTATAAAACACAATGCATACATCTTATATACAATATATCCTATGACATCCACTCATTCACACATGTCCCCAGACCAGTGATCCTCTACCTTAGGACCTGCAGGACTTCCAGGGCTTCCAGGAGGACTCGGAGGGCGGATGTTCTTCACCACCCAGCCACAGGTCATCGTTTCTGCCGTCTGCTTAAGGGCCCTCTTGGAGGTGAAAAAAACCACCGAGCTTGGAGAGTGCTGCTTCTGTTCAGCGCTGAAGATTCTTCCAGATTTTGTTCCAAATCACCATCTGGATGACCAAATCTGACCATCTGCTGATCTACCCGCCTCGGTGAGGCCATTCCTCGTTTCGGAACGCCGCTCGAGGGCCGCGGCGCGCCCCTGAGCCGCCGACTGCGAGGCTGGAGAGCTCTCACCTGGCCTCGGAATCCACGGCGGATTCTCGGTGGTTCACGTGTCGTGGCCAAGAAACACTGGGGTGGGCTTTTGAAGAAGCTACGACCGGACCCGCCATGCCTACAAGTGTCTCCGCTCGCCTTTTCTCAGACAGTGGCAATGGATGGTCATTGGTCAAGTCTGTCTCGTTTTCGAGGTCAAAACAGCGACTTTCTTCGGAGGAAGATCCAGCAAAGATGAACCTCGTGCCGGACGTGGGCGGAAAGCGTCTCATCCTCGGGCCCAAGGACAGGTCAAAAGTCTTCCTCTTGAAACTCAGGTCGGGGGTTGGCCCACAACCCGTATATTGGTAGATGTTTGTTGTTGTTTTTTTACACATGCATGCTAACAAGCTGCACCTGCCAAAAGGATATGGAGGATTGATGAACAGTTACTTTCACATACTTTCACGACCACACAAGTTCAAAGCCCTCCCTGCCCTGTTTGTTTGCCAATTAGGGATTCCCCATGTACTGAACAAAACAACGACACCATCACAAATACATATGTCGCATATTTATATAAATGGTGGGCACAAAACCAGATCGAATAGGAAACTTGACCGCATTATCCTCTGCCAAGGTTTTCCTTTACCAGGGATGGTCTACATGTCTATGTTAGTTTGGGATAATAGATGCTTCCTCATTCCCTAAATCATGGAGATTGCCTTGCCGCAACTGCAACCTTCGTAGATGTCCTGAACCGATCGGTCTCTGTACATGAAAACAACGTGTGGTGCCCTCCGATCAACCCCCCACCTACTCTGATCATACCCAGAACTTGGACACGTTTAATCCCACCTAATCAGATCCTGCACTAACAGTTTGGGGTAGAAAGAGTAAATTGAAACTCTTAGGAATATAGGACTCCTGACAGTACTTCAGGGTGACATCCTTGTGACCTCTGAATCTGCAACCTTTCAAAGCACGACCCGGAACCATCGCCAAGCACGATCTGTGACCAGAGTCAGGCGTCCCAACTCCGAATCACCAAAAACATCACATCGGAACCTCATTTTAGACCTTTAGTCCTAACCCACATAATCCACATCCATGATGGGCATTCTCCAAGCAGCTGCGAAGAACACCAGAGTGGCACTCAGAAAGGCCACCGAGGTATACCCAGCCGGCACGTCGATGGCTCCTACAAAGCATGCCGCGGGGAGGGGAATGGAAACTGCAGTTTGGTGAAACAAACTTTGCATACATACCTAGGAACATGCTATATATACACATTGTAACATGTTAGGTCTTGGGAAATGGTCTGCCCAAACGCACCCTTTTGACCCTTTTGGCGGACCCACGGCTGTCCAGAGCATCTGGGTGGATCTTAAGATGAGTCTACTGTATGCCAAAGCGAACAAAAACCAAAGTTGGACTCTTGACAATCAACATCGAAAGGAGTGTGTCCCCTGGGCCCTGCACGCAACTCTCCAGAGGAGAAGTTACTGCTTGGGCACGTGGACCTGAGCTGCGCTTGATCCATGGGAACATGGGTGGCTCAATGTGCGCAACAAAATTTTAGACAATACAAAAATAAAAATTATGTTGTTGGGATGTTGGTCACACGAATGCACGACTTGTCGCTTGAAACATTTACAAAAGCACCTTGCACGTCGTCAGGCAACCGGTAACACGACCACAGCGAAGCTGGTGGAGATCCAAAGGGCGCTTTGGACTCTTTAGTGCGGAAAAAGGAACAAGTCCCAGTCCCATGTGACCTGAGACTGTGCTGATGTCGAAGGAAAGGCTTCATCAACTGCATTAAGTGGTTTCGTTTGCGTTAATAAGGGAATATTAATAAATATACATATATTGTTTCGGTCAGTTTTTTACTAACAATTTATTGGGAATTCCGGGCTTTCCGGGCCAATTGATATATTAATTTAACTAGTTCTATTAATTACAGCAGCTATTTTCTATCTATGGAATTAGCAAATTTAGAGCAACAACTCTAGAATTCTTGGTTAACATTTCCAGGCGAAATCACACTTAACTTTATAGTTTTGACTAATTATACATATTTTTCTACTTGCGCAAATTGTGCATTGATAAACATTAGTATCTTTAGTTATTTTTGTAATTATGTGGAATTCCGAGCCTTTCGGGCCAAGTAATTATTAAGTATATTAACATTTAACTAACAACTAGTGGGCCCGGAAAACCAAATATTCAACACATTTAATTAAATTAGATATGATACAAGTAATATCTTTTTGCATAAATTAATGCTATTAACTAATATCTATCTAACTTTATTTAAAATGCACATTTTTGGGGATGAACACTGTTACTTGCATTGTAATGACTCGATAAAGTTGAAAAATCACAAAAATTTGAATTATTAAATCCGTACTTGGTACGGAATACCCGGAATTTCAAATAACTAGTTCAACTCGATAAATACAAACATGTTTGGCCAAACGTGTTTTTCATTCTATATATTTTTCATTCCCGCCAAAAGAACAAGTTTAAAGTAATTGGCAAAGTTTATATAGTTAGTCGTTAATTGGTCCAGAAAGTCCGGAATGCCAAATAACTAAAAACATTTGTGAGCAGTTGTTGTAGTTAGTACAATTGATTGGCCCGGCGTTTGCTAGTAAAGATTCAATCAGAAGTATTTGCGCTCAACGCGTTGAAGTTTTTTCACCAATTTTCCAGATCCTCGTAAAACCAGATCTTGTACACCCTGGCCTGAATGCCCCACAACAAATTGCGCAATGCTCCTTCTCTTGCCGTGCTGGATTCCTTCACGACCAGCTCGTGGTCCCAACTCTGCCCCCGCGGAGTTTCTTTGAGAGGACATGTGCTGCAGCTGCTGCTATTGCGCCACTCCATCGTAGCATCCTTGTCCACCGTCTGCTCCCCCGACACTCCA